ACAGAGAAAGGGAGATGGCCAGAGAGAGACAGAGAGAGAGACAGAGAAAGGGAGAGAGACAGAGAGAGAGAGACAGAGAAAGGGAGAGAGACAGAGAGAGACAGAGAGAGAGAGAGAGAAAGAGAGAGACAGAGAGAGAGACAGAGAAAGGGAGAGAGACAGAGAGAGAGAGATCACAAAGCCCTAACATACCAGGAGCTGAAACCAGAGAAGAGTCCCCTCAGCCAGCTGGTCCTGAGGCTCTCTGCAGTAACATGTCCCCAACAGCCTCAGGACAGCAACACCAACTCAATCAGACCAAACCAAATTATCAACAAGCAAAAAGAAAAATATATTGAATACTAATACTACAAATTACAATGTTATCTGGTCCTAAAAAGAGAATACAAACTGGCAAATTACCTGAGCACAATAAAATGTCCTAAACTAAGAACAATGTTGACAATGTACAGACTGAGTGAACACAGCCTGGCCATAGAAACGGGTCGCCACAGACAGAACTGGCTACCAGAAGAGGAGAGACTCTGCTCCCAGTGTGACAGAGGACAGGTAGAGACAGAGCTGCACTTTCTAACCTCATGCCCTAAATTCAAAACTTTAAGAGAAAAACAATTCACAAATATTTCCCAAATATACCCTGAATTCATATTTATATCAGACACACAGAAACTCCCCTATTTACTGGGAGAAATGCCCAAAAGTCAAATTACTGCAGCAAAATATGTCTCCTCATGCCACGAACTGAGGACGACCAGTGGAAACTCTGTAAATGTATAAAATAATTGTTTTAGTTGTGTTGTGTAATACACACACACACACACACACACACACGTTTACAGTTTTATCTATTTTATTTTATATATGTTATATTTAATAATTTGTTATTACTGTTATATTGACAACACACTACTTGCTTTAACTGCAGTTACTTTACTACTGTTTTAATTGATTGTAATTAATTACTTGTTGACTGAGATTGATTGATTGTGATTGAGTCAATCATAGTTACAGTATTACCAACAGTATAATTCATTTATTGTAAATATTGTTCTTCTTTGTTATAATTATTATTTTTAATGACAATAAAGCCATTTGATTTGAATTGAATTGAGAGAGAGAGAGAGAGAATTTGACATAAGAGACAAAAACAGTAAATCAGTTTGTTGTTTGTTGTTGTTTTGTTGTCGTTGCTATGCAGAGAAATAACCTCTTTCTGACAGTTCCCTCATCTCTTCCTCCATCTCTTCCTCTGACGGGTCGAACCCTGCTGGGTTTCCCCGGGTTTTAAAGCTGGTACAGGTACAGAGGAACACTCTGGATTCTGGATTTTAAATATTTAAACCAAAGGAAAGACTTGGATCAAGTCTCTCAATGCAAAATCAAAGACTGGATGATGATTGGAAGATGCTGCAGGAGTAAGTCCTTAAACTCAGACTGAGTGAGCTTTTTACATTAATGTGTTTTTGGTTAAATATATTTCATGTTTTGAAGATTTTTCAAGTCTTAAAAAGGGCGTTTGCTAACAACAGTCTCATTTATTCCTGTAGACGCCCTGAATTTATTGCTCAGTGCTTTAAAACCAACAGGTTTGATCTGCTGCCGCCATCAGCTCGCCACCTGCTGGTCTGAAGGTGCACTGCAGCGAACATTGAAACATTTCTCCACGCAGACGAACCCCCGTGTGGCTCACAGCGTCGGTAACTCTCTGTGTTTATCTGTATTCTCCAGCGCTCTCGCTCTTTGTTTCTCATATATTTGTTCCATCCTTCAGGGCCTCTGCTCAGCTTATTCTATCCATCCATGTTTCTGTTCTCCACTAAATCCTCCCCAGAGCTCAATCTCTACACTCTCTCCTTTCTTTACTCACAGAAAACTTGTCCTTTCCTCTCTCACAGGCCTCTATAATACTTTTGTTGTACTCTACTTGACATTTCCTGCTGCTGAAATCCTGTTTTGTACGTTCATAAATCCCCAAACTGGCTTTAAATTACATTCCTGTGTTTATGTTCTGCTTCCTGTTGCTATTAGCTGCTGCACTGATCTCATCTTCCTGCAGAGAATCATGAATGTTTCATCCGACTCCTGTTTATTTCTCTCTCTCTCTCTCTCTCTCTGACGCAGCTCTCCAAATTCAGCCAAACTCTCCCACCTTTCCTCCCCAGGAAGTGCTGCGAGTGGCTGCATCAGCTGTTGTTGTAGTCGGAGAGAGAGCGAGAGACAACAGAATACAGCCTGCAGCAACGTCTGGCATATTCAGGTCACTCCACAGCGATCCAACGAGTGCACCGGCACGCCGTCCACATCGTAACACCGGAGCTCGTGACGGGGGGGGATAAAATACAGAAAATGTTCTAGGTGAGAAAAAATAGAAACGTTTAATCTCCAGTTTTTCTCCAGAATACATGTAAAGGAATTATAACAGGAAGGAAGGTGGTGTAATGTGAGTCTGCAGGGCTGTTCCCATTTTATAGGTAGAATTAGCATTTTTGTCAATGGAGTCTGGTGGAGAGCAACAGACAGCAGCTGCTCCTAGTTTAACAGAAAGGTCTATTTCTTTACATAATAATAATAATAATAATAATAATTAGTTTTATTTATGTAGGGCCTCTCAAAACCTACAATATGTGCAAAGATACCCAGAACATCAAACAGAACAGAAACTATCAAAGTGTAAAGAGATAAAACAAAATATAAAGAACAATAAAACATATTTAAGTGTTTTAATAATCATCTGTTAAATTACTGGTTTTGTGAATGGAGTCTGGTCTGATGCTCTAGTGGCAGTGAACAGTTGTCTGCTGCCTTATTAATGCTTTAAATAACTGATAAATAATTTAAGCAGTTTAGTATTTGGGTTTGTGTAAATTAACTCAGACAGACTGTCCACAGATAACACTGACCCAGAATCAGCTAATGTGGTACACTGTCTCTGTTCTTACTCAAAGATAATCTGACAACAGGAGTGATGTGTTCATTTTGAGGGAATCTCAGGTTGCACCATCAGGACCACAGAAACCACATTATGGAGCTGGAGTAGTTTTAAAGGACTACAAAGTCCAACAGCAAAGTCCGTGAGGTCGGTGACTCGTCTCTGGGCAGGAATTTGTTTTATTTGGAGCAGCGGCAGCCGGAGGAGGAAGAGGAGGAGGAGGAGGAGGAGGAGGAAGAGGAGGCCATTTCTCATCTGGCCGCTCAATAATTCAACACAGCGACAGTCCGCATGGAGGCTAGCAGGGAGCGGCCGCTCTCTCATGTCCGTGTGGAGAGTCGTGTGTTATGACACACACACACACACACACACACACACACACACACACACACTCTCTGATGAAGCAGCTGTGTGTGTGAGAACCTGAATACCAACTGTATTGATCGTTATTGGTCAGCAGACACCGATATATCTGCAGTAAGCTCACATATCTACACACAGTAACACTCATTTATAACATCCTCCTCACATGGTTCAACCTTATTTCACAATAAAAGCCCCGTCATCACAACAGCTGATATTGTTCAGAGAAAGATATTCATCCCTCCAACAGAGTAAAGTTATAACAGAATTAAAGACGATTCGAAGCAGCAGAGGAAGAGAGAGCCACACCAGCAGGGATAACGAACGCAACTCGCTCCGAGACACGAGATAAAAAAATAAACAGGTACAACTTCAACAGAGTAAATATTAATCCAATGACAGTCTGAAGCCACTCGGAGCGGATCAGCTTTAACAGCCACAATAAATGCAGAGCGTGTCACAGTCAGTTAGGCAGAGTGCACCGAGTCCTGATGGGACCCGAGCAGCAGGAGGCCCGCAGACAAACCGGGTCAGTGGTCAGGTACAAACTAGGCCACGGACTCCGGCTCCGAACCACTGCTGCGTGAACAAACCCTCCGACCTCTCAGGCCAACTCAAACACCAACCGCTGAAGTTGTTGCAGGAAATACTTTAAATATTGGCGATGTCATTCCAGTTTGTTCCACGGACTCATTTTCACAATAAGAGCGGTCACAGGTTTGTGATATTAAATGAATGATTGTAATCTCTATATGTGAACAGCGGTACGATGGATAACGCTCACTGAGCTGCTGTGTTTGGTACTTTTGAACCTTTTATTTTAACAGCTGTAAGAAACTAAACTGTAGAGACCTGAATAAAAGCTGCGTTCAGAGCCTTCAGTGATAAACAGCCTCGTGCTGCATTACAACAGTTCAAACTACCAAAGAGCTCACAGAACGGCACAGAATCAAAAAAACACTGAAATTATTTTCAAATGTTAAAAAAATTTAATAAAAAGTTCCTAAAAAATAAAAGTAAAACTAAAATAACAACTTTATTCTATTTGCAGACAGAGGAAACAGAACGATCCATTAAACGAGTGGTTTCAATAAACTATTTAAAGAATTAAAGGCCTGTCTCCTGTAGAGGCCTGGTCCAAATAAAGGCAGACAAATAGATTACAGCAGCTCTCGAGTCCCAGTGGAAGTCTGCAGCAGCAATAAACAGGTTTACACCTTGTTTATTGTTTACAAACCCTGTTTATTGTTTACAAACCCTGTTTACAAACCCTGTTTATTGTTTACAAACCCTGTTTATTATTTACAAACCCTGTTTATTGTTTATAAAACCTGTTTATTGTTTACAAACCCTGTTTATTGTTTATAAAACCTGTTTATAAACAATAAACAGGTTTACACCTTGTTTATTGTTTACAAACCCTGTTTATTGTTTATAAAACCTGTTTATTGTTATTATTTATTAATTATAATGTTCATTAATCAGCAGAGAGCTCCTTTAAACCTCAAATATAACGATAACAGTTCAAACAGTAAACAAACACACAGGTAAACAACAACAACCGGCTGACGTAACCACACACAGCTGTTAGCCGTTAGCTGCTAACGTTAGCCGCTAACGTTAGCCTGTTTCCCGCCGCTGACAGTGACGTTACGCTCGGCTCTCCCCGGCGGGGCTCGGCTCTCCGGGCTCGGGGCTCGGGGCTCACCTGTAGTTGTACGAGGGGAACTTCTTGCTCGCGCTCAGCATCGACCTGTACAGAGAGATCACCTGGGCTCGTGCGGACGCCGCCATGATGCTAACAACGACAGACAGAGCCTCAGGACCCTTGATGACGTGCGTCCAACGCAGCGCCTGTACAGAAGTAAACAGCTTCCGGTCACAGTTTCTCTCCCCGCGTTGATTTTATTTAAAGTTTAATTAAACGCACACACGTTGTTGTCATATAGAGTCACCACAGAAGAAGTTTATTTTATTTTATTTTATTTAATACGACTTATTGTCCGTCAGGCGCACAGGCGCGTCGAAGCCCACTGAACACGAGCTGAACGCTGGAGTTGTCCCGAAGGTGAGTGAGCTCCCTGTACCGTCCTGTACGTGTTCGATACCGGTGAGCGGGTCCGGTGAGCGGGTCCGGTGAGCGGGTCCAGTCTCCTCACAGGGTGTCTCAGGTACCATCGTTACAGGTGTGTCTGTTGGTGTCACCGTGTGCGCATGCGTGGAATAAAACAGAGTGTAATCAGCTGTAATTCCACAGCCAGGGTGAGGTTAGTGGAGAAGCTCCTTTGTTAAACTACTTTATGTTAATTTAAAGCATCAATATATTATATTAATTAATTAAAATGTCTGTGAACTGGATGTAGCTGCCAGGAGCTGTCTCACACTGACTGTCTGCCGTCCACTCGTTAGATCTCGGTGCTTTTTAACTCTAGATTGGAACCGGATGAAGGATTTTAGGAGAAGCTGACTGCAATGACGCCAATGGTGGTGAAGACAACAACTCCCATGTTGTCTTCAACTCCCATGATCCCACACTGCTCCACCAGAGGACGGGGTTTCCCACAGCACTTTGCAGTTAAGACGGTCGCCTTAGCAACACACGCCTACCGCCTTAACTACGTGGTCGTGTCACTCTCTCCGGTTTTCTCCCTTTCACTCCGAACCGTGACCAAAGCCAGTCTCTCCTTCTTCTATGTGTCCGAACAGCAGCATCTGGTGGTTGTCATGGCGATATCTATCGTCGTTCTTTATCCGGGTAAAAAGAAAAAACATTTCTGGGAGAAGACGTTCATCTGGCATTTGGATAGCCTGTCGCATCGAGGTCAGATAATTATTCTAAATTATTCTATAACTACTTGAACAACCTGTAAACTGTTTTCTTATCAAGGCTAGTTGCGTTTACACGTGTTTGTCTGATCGCTATACGTTTGATGATTGCACGTGATTTTCTCTCGCATTGTACAAATGGACAGAAAAACGCAGCCAAAAATTGCGCCCTACCTCTCCACCCCCCCCAGGCGTCTGACGGCCTACCACCTTCACTAACACATTTGCGGCGGGAAACCCTGAAGGATTAATTGATTATTGGTAGAAATAGGGGACAGATTAATCGATACTGAAGTTTGTTTCTGTTCTCGCTGGTGGTGTTTGACCTTTGACCTCTGGGTGGCACAGACATGCAAATCAGCGTTCTGAATGAATTGAAATGGAGTTAACACTGGACACTGTGTGTGTGTGTGTGTGTGTACAGTGTGTGTGTGTGTGTGTGTGTACAGTGTGTGTGTGTGTGTGTGTGTGTGTGTGTGTACAGTGTGTGTGTGTGTGTGTGTGTACAGTGTGCTCTTTAGCAGTGGATGTGTGAAAGGTCAGAGACACATCCTGTTTGTTGATGTCCTGCTGTCTTTTAGTGTAAAGGTCAATGGCACCGCTCTCTGTGTGTGTGTGTGTGTGTGTGTGTGTGTGTGTGTGTGTGTACACTGGTGTCGGTTTGTTGGTAAAAACTCAGTTGATAACATTGATTGTCCAATGAAGCAGTGTTTGGCGTGTGTGTACTGGTGTCTTCTATCTTTGTGAGGACCTGTCTGAAACACACTTTGAAAGTAAGCTAAGACACTTTATTGATCCGACTCTGGGATCCAGATACTCAATACAACAGATAGAAAATACACATCAAATAAAAATAGAGTATGAAAATACAGGATGAAATAGAAATAGAGTTGTATGTACATACATATAATATATATACAGCAGTATAATGTAGAGGAAATATAGGCTATGAATATACAGTACAAGTATAATGTTTTCCAACATTTAATGAATTAACTAATTAGCATTAATTGAGTCACTGGTTTCTACTTGTCTAATCAACCGAGGCCAACAGAGCGCCGCTGTGTTAACTCGAATGAGGGAATGCTTTATGTCAATGTGCGTCCTCACAAGTACAGAAGTAGACGAGTTGTGTGTCCCTGTAGATTCAGCTGACTGACGGACGGATCAATAACGGAGGATTTCCTTCAGTCCCAGCTGACTGGACCAAGTCTCTCCGTCTAATCTGAGCTTTCAGTCTGGATCCTGCAGATCAACAGATGCTGCTGTCAGTGTCCGTGTTCACACCGCGCTCCTAAACGCTGTTTATCCAGTCCCGATCCAGTGTCACATCTTCAGCACCGACTGTGGAAGCAGGAACGGGTGTTTTCTGAGAGACTGAAGTCTTTGAGATTCAACTGAAGGCCCAGAAATACTTTTATTCCTTTTAGATTCCTCACATTGATTGTTGACTTTGCGCTTGTGGCAACAAGCATTTGTCCGCAACCCACATCCACTCTAGTGAAGAGAAACCAGACCTCTCAGAGTATTAAGGTATATCTGCATGAGCTGCACGATTAAATATTTTATCCAGTGAGTTAAAATACGTCATGGCAACTGTCTCAAAGGTCCAGTGTGAAACATTGAGGAGGATTTATTGTCAGAAATGTAATATAATATTAACCGGTGTGTTTTCATTAGTGTGTAATTACCTGAATATTGGAAACTGTTGTTGACGTTGTTTCATGAGAGCGACAGACAAAAATAAAACGTAGTGTCGTCGGCAAAAAAGTTAAACTTTTTCATTAGTGAATAATCAACAAGAATGAAGGAGACGAGGGACAGGGAGCGGGATGTTAACAACCAATCAGAGCCGAGACAGATATAAAGGCTCTTTGGGTTGAGGATAGTTGGTCGGCTCTGATTGGTTGTTCTCATTCGGGCCCAGTGGATTCTTGTAAACGCCATTCGGAGCCACTTGGAGGAGCAGAGGAACCTGATTGTTTCACTGTCAGAGTTTCAGAAAACATGATGAAAAGTTGTTTTTATAAAAGGTTACCTACTGCAGCTTTAAGTCAATTGAACATCAGGGAGAAGAAAACACTGAAAAAAGAAGCTTATTAAGTCTGATTGATTGTTAAAAATGATATAATACAGACAGAATTGTTTAAAAGTGTCACTGTTTGGGTTGATTGTACAGTTTTGAATATAATATGAAACATCATCACTCATCAGTCAGTCAGGGGCTGTTAGTTTACTGAATGATAGAAAAAGGGTCTCTTAAGGACAAATGTTGGGAACCGCTGATCTAAAGTCTGAATTTACCCAGAATTCCTTTAGAATCAGGTGACTGCAGAGGTGTAGCGGGAGATCCTGCAGTGGTCACAGTGATTTAGCTGAAATGTGGAGAAAGTTCAGTGGATGAAGTGAGGAATAGTTGCCCGAAGCTCCACACTGTGTCGACCTGAGCGTGTTTTGATGTGTTTGTTGGTTGTTCCTCACTTTGAATCACCGCTGTGAGCTGCAGATTGAGTTTTGTCTCCTTTCTGCCTGGTGGATCAAGGCCCCCGACGTCCCTCCCATCGATCGCTTCCTCCCGTGTTCAGACCTGTGGAAGAATCCGTCTGGGACACATCAGCCCTGTGACCCGAACCTGATCGCCTCCAACCCATCCACCCGTCCACCCGACCCTCCGTCCGTACGTCCATCTTCTCTGTTCCTGCACCTCGTCTTCCTCTCCGGATCAACAAACTCTTCTGCACTGTTCGGTCCACAGGCTGAGGTGGGTGTGTGTTGAACATCATATTGATCCTTGTTCTGCTCTCTGCATTTTCCTTTCATCTAAATTCTTCACTTAATTTGCTCTGTGTGTGTGTGTGTGTGTGTGTGGTGAAGCCTTTATTTAACCAGGATATGTGTTTTTGTGTCATCAGTGCTAACTAACACGCTCTGTGTTATAAGATATTTAATGGGAAGATAAAAATATTCCAGTACATCAATCATTCGGCAGCCAACTTACATTTGGTCCTTTTGTTCTACTTTATTTATTAGCACATTTAAAACAAGCAGAGTTGACCTAAAGGGAGCTACAAATTAAAAGTGCAAGGTACAAATATAAATCAATAAATGACAATAATAAATATAAGGCAATAAAAAATATGTAAAAACAAACAGAACCAGACTTGTAAGACCGATATATAATAAAATACTAACTTAAAACAATCAAAGTAATAGAAACATGTACGTCTTGGGTTTTGTCTGAAGATTGAGGGGCAGTGTGTTAATGAAAGCAGAAGGTTTTTCCAAAGCTTTGGAGCTGCGACCACGAACTCCCTCAACCACCAACCTGGATCGTGGAACAGTTGTAGTATCGGACAGAGAGGTTCTGCTGGGGTTTCTGTGCAGGTATGGCCTTAAACCTTAAAATGAATCCTGTATTTGACAGGTAACGTTGATGAGATTAACGTGGTGGCAACAGTCTGTTTTATTTATTCTTTGCTATGGACAATAATGCTGGCTTTGTGACGTCATGATGACAGTCTGTCTCCTAGAAAACACTTTTATATATTAATGCTAATTTATTTTACCCAAGTGTGACATCACCCATCGGTTTCTGTCCACTTTGAATGAAGTTAAGATGATCTGAAGGTAAAATGAGTGTTTTTGTCTCTGGAGTCTGGTGGAGAGTGATAGTGATATTACGGCTGTTTGTGGTTAAACTAAAGGTCTATCTCTGTAGGGATCCTTTCCATAATGCTGTCAGACACTGACAATAACAACCTGAGTCTGTCTGTGGCACAAACTAAATTTGGTGGATGGACTTTGACTGCGCGTGTGTCCTCAAGGATCAACGTTAGCTTACGAATTTTGACCAAACCAACGTTGATGAGTGATGGAAACTTGGGGTGAGTTTTGTTTCTGAGACGCTGATGCTCTAGTGCAACATCAAGTAGCAAACGTTTAAATGAAGCTTTAGCTGGTGCAGATTTTGTGTTAAAAGAGCAAATGTTTTAATAAATGTGGAAACAAACGTTAGCTAACGTTGTTCGGACACGTTGGGAATCAACAACTTGTGTCGAAATGTTTACGTATTACTCTCATTAAGGACAAAAAGACAGAAGCAGGAAATCTGATAAAAGCAGGAGAGAGACAACGAGAGCCTGTAGATAGAAAATCAGAGAACAGGTTAACAAAAACAGCCAAAGTCCTGAATAAAACATTACAGACTGTGACACAAAACTAGTTTCCAAATTTTTCTGAATGTCATTCCAAAACATGAAGTGTGCGCATGCAACCACCGCAGTATTTGTCTTTATTTATGAATGAATATTTCATGTGTCTGACCTCCCTCTCGCTGCATGGAGACAAATTCCCGACGCGTTCGCGGGATTTCCGCGTTATCTGCTGTTTAATGTCACACTCGGGCCGAGGAAGTGGAAGCGAGCGCGGCAGATGTAAACAAACCCGACCTCTGCTTTTAATTGGCAGCAAAATAAAATGCAAATAAAGTCGAAATGAGGCGACGCTTTGATGTGTCGGAGGGAAGCTCGGAAAGTCCAAATCAAAGTCTACAGCGACTGGACTGAAGGGAACATCTGTGGCGATCTGTGCAGAGGGTCAGGGACAATTAAACTGCAGCTTGTAACTGTACATTAATGTCCACTGTGGCACCATATCTGCTGTGTTTCCTGAATATGAAGTGAGAATTTCTAGTCACTTTAGATTCCAGTTATCCAGCAATTCTGGAAACCAACTAATGTGAAAAGTTAAATTTAGACTCTGCAGACGCACTCGCGGCCCCGTGAGGCCGTAAAGGTCAAAACACCAGAAAACAAATCACTGTAAGGATCAAAAGCTCTGAGTGTTTGTGCGGGTTACAACCGGTTTTGGCTCCTGCCACTCCAGAGCTAACGTTAGCTGCATGAGCTAACTGCATCTAACATTACTGTTACCGACAATGATTGGATTTTGATATAGAAATACTAAGAAATCAAGTTTTTGTGAATGTTTTGGCATAAATTGTTAAATAGGGGAACAATATAAGTGAGGATGTGATCTTAAAGAGTTCATTTCACCTAGACTTTAAATTATTCTTAGTGTCTCAAACCCCGAACATCCCCTCCTGATAGTAAAGACTCAGAACCAGAACCAGTTTGTGTTTTCAGTCGTATGTAATCAAGAAACCTCTGATTCTGTGATTAGACACACAGATTTATTGGTGTTGGATGTCGGCCTGTCTAAATGAACCCAGCTGCCTGTAGTAGTGGGGGGGGGGGCTGCAACCTTCATTAGCTTTCATTAATAACAGAGAGACTTCCACGTCCAGCTCTCTACCGCTGCCTTCGCCTGTAATTACAACCATCGAGACATACATCACCTCGCTGCCGTCGCAGCCTCATGTTTGACTACCGCTCACTCCAAAGCTCCAGAGGATACGCCAGGAAAACGCTCCTCTTTAGAGGTAAACAAATGTTTACTCGTCAACAGCAGGTGTTTGTGAAGCTGTGTAATCTGGACAAAGTGAAACATTTTAAAGCACCTGGACGTGTACTTGATTTAACAAAAAACAACAAAAAATTTACCTAATTATATGAATGTATTAACAGTATTAAATTAATTCAACAGTTTCATCTATTAAATAAACAGTAAATATCTGCAAAGAATTAAATATTTTATTCTTTTTATGACAAAAAAGGAGATTTTCTTTAAATAATTACAGATTATTTTACATTAAACATGTAAATTAACAAGATATTTTTGTAATTGTATTAATACGTAATGATATATATATATAAAAGTAAAGTTTTACAGGGTTTTTCCTGTTTATTTTACAGTGTCCACGTACTTTTGGCCTTGTAGAAACTCTCCCATCCAGCTTCCTCTCAGTGCCACTGAAGCTAACCCTTCCCAACATCCTGCCACTGATATTGTCGTATAAAACCGCCCTGATCAGCTCGGACAGCAGGAAGGAAGCCAAGGGACACAACGTGCACTAATGCCAACGTAATGCCACTGAAAGCAGCCGTTAGCCAGTTAATCACCTCGGCTGTAACTCTTAAGATTCAGATCTAATATACAAATTTAATCCCAGTCGGGTTTTAGTGTTTTATTATTCAAATTAAGCGCTAATGAATTCAGAATCAGGCAGTAAAACATAACGCGCTGCTGGGCTGCTTTTTCCCCATTACTTTATTTTTAATTGGTAGATCCGATTAGAGTCCACGCTGCGCTCTGATTGGTGGAGTAGATTGTGGTCTGGTGCGAGGCCAGATTAACCTGGCAGGAGGCCCCCGGGCTAAAAGGGGCTCCTGGGCCCCAATTAGGGCCCCGTTCTTCCTGTTCTTCCTGTTCTGTGCTGTGTGCTAAATTCTTCTAAAGTGTCTGTTTAACGACTGTTTTATGATAACAATGGATGAAATGAGGGTGTGACAGTGCGTCTGTGGTGGAGTTATTATTATCGACATCATTATAATAATATATATATAAAATAAACTGCAACAGGTTGGTGTAAAACAAGTGATTTGGATGGATTTTGAGCAGATTATGTCCTGATTCTCTGTATTATGTATTTATTTAATTTAATTTATTAATTTACACTGTAAAACCTGATGAGTTAACTCTTGAACAGTTTTACTGTTTTAACTCCAACAATTCGGTATATTACATATTATTATAAATAACTTCTTTATACGTTTATATACTGAGAGTAATACAGTCAATAAATAATAACATGTGAATGATGGAATGAATCGTAAGAATAAAGGAATTACTCATTAGTTTTTACCTTCATTTAGTCCTGTTGAGGTTTTAATAGCTCACAGTGAACATGATGTGTTCAATCCGTTAAAGGAGATTGAAAAACAACAGAGCGGCGATGAGGAATGTTTTCAGTTGGACTCTAAATGACGATCGATCCCAATAGTTCAGCGACCATCTGCTGCATGTTGCACCTGACCGGCAGGTGTTCAGTCCAAACCTTCCTCCAGTTTATCTTTGGATTCAAACAGACTTTAACTCCTTCCTTCTCTCTCTCCGGCTCCATCCTTTCATTATTCTGTTTCCTACCGTCGCCCCGCTGATAAACTCTGAACTACATTTCCCAAGAGGCCGATTGTCTTCTGTGGTGACTACATGAGCTGAGAGGAAGCTGTAGTGGAACAGTGGAGGGTGAAAGAGTGGTGCTCTGATAACTTAAGATCCAGAAATCTGATGACTAAAATCCTTCATCCGGTTCCAATCTAGAGTTAAAAAGCACCAAGATCTAAACAGTGGATGGTAGACAGTCAGTGTAATGTAAGAACGTGTTAAATAATCCCCACCCGGTGCAGTGAAGGGCTCTGCAGCCCGGTGGAGGAGAGCAATGACCTGGCCTACCGTGCTAACTGTATTAGCGACGGGGAGTGCTAGCATTTGTTCTGCTGTCAGCGAAGACAAATTAGCTGCTGCGCTAATTGTTGTGTGAGCTGCAGGGAGATGCAGCAGCAGTTTACAGACCGTCAGAGAGTGTGTGTGTGTGTGTGTGTGTGTGTGTGTGTGATAACGCAGTCCTTCGCTGTCCAAATATCACCCAGGATGTCAAATTGATTTCTCTGGCGTGTGAGTTAGTGCACATAGCCGTTTTCTTTTACTGTGTGTGTGTGTGTGTGTGTGTGTGTGTCCTCCATCTGTTCTAGAAAGCCCTTCCTGAACCTGCTGAGCCCACCAGACCTTACTCTACACACACACACACACACACACACACACAGGGTCCATGGTGAGCTGCTCTGTTATGTAACATCCGAA